TGTGAAAGCGATCTTTTAAAGACAAATGTTTCTTCGACTTCCCTTTTTATTTTATTTTTTAATCGTCACTTGATATTTCCCCATTGATTTTTAGAGAGAGTGGAAGAGAGAGGGAAAGACAGAAACATTGACGTGAGAGAAAAACATTGATTGGTTGTCTCCTGCACGAGCCCCAACCAGGGCACGGGCTGGGGAAGAGCCTGCAACTGAGGTATGTGCCTTTGATAGGAATCAAACCTGGGACCCTTAGGTCCACAGGTTGACGCTCTTTATTAACTGAGCAAAACTGGCTAGGGCTGAATGCCTTTTTTAGTGAAAAAAAAATACAAATTATAAGTTACAGCCTTTCAAATACAAATCCGCCTGTATCATTGTTATAGCCATCCTACATTGTTTCTAGTTTTCCTCCTACCAGGTTAGCTCACACCCCTGTACCTCTGAGCGTGCCATATCTCTACCTGTCCTTTCCCCCACTCCCTGATCTGGATAAAAGTACACATCCTGGATGTGAGTGCGATCTGGCTGCGACATCTGTCACCCCATTGATCGCCAGGGTTGATTCGGCTGATCTGGCTGGCTAGGCGGGTATCCCCCTCCTCCCTCACCGATCCATGTGCGTCCCTCCCCAAGCTGCGCGCTCGGTGGAAGAGGACGACCTCCACCCCGCCCGCCCCCCAGGAGAGGACCGGTCTTCGGTCAAGGGTATACGAGTAGCTGCGCTCCCCTGCTAGAACCTCCAAACAAGCTCTCAAAGTACACATCCTATAAAATTTGGATCAAACTCATCTGACTCAACTTCCTTGATCTCCCAGGCAAAATTAGTAACTTCATTCTCTCTTTTTTCATGGCACTTCGTATATATCTCTCTCAAGACATTTCTCATCAACCTATTTGTTGACCAGCCTGCCTCTCCTGCAAGTTGGATATAGGGCAAGGCCTTGGCAGCAGCAAAGGGAAAAAGAACTTTAAAAAAATATATATTTGTATTTACTTCAGAGGAAGGGAGGATAGAGAGAGAAACATCAATGATGAGAGAGAATCATTGATAGGCTGCCTCCTGCACACCCCCTACTGGGGACCGAATGAGCCTGCAACCTGGGCATGTGCCCTTGACCAGAATCAAACCTGGGACCCTTCAGTCCATGGGCTGACACTCTATCCACCGAGCCAAACCGGGTAGGGTGAGAATTCTTTGTTTTAGTATAAAAGCTCTCAGTTAATGGTGGGAGAAAAGGTAGATTCTTGAAATCTTAAAGCTATCACTTAACAGGTACTGACACCTATCAGGTACTGCACTAAATGCAGCTTTCAGATTTTTACCTGAAGGATCTTAAAGTTCAACTAATGGTCAGAAAAGTATGGTAATGAATCAACACACACAAGTCTATATTTTTGGATAGAAAAGGCACTGACATACTTTGTAGAAAAAGATTTTATGAGGCCCTAGCTGGTTTGGCTCAGGGATAGAGCGTCGACCCGCAGACTGAAGGGTCCTGGGTTTGATACCAATCGAGGGCATGTACCTCAGTTGCAGGTTTGATTCCAGCCCCAGTCAGGGCACCTGCAGAAGGCAACCAATCAATGAGTCTCTCACAACGATGTTGCTCTCTGTCTCCCGCTCCTTTCACTCTCTCTAAAAATCAATGGAGCCCTGACCAGTTGGGCTCAGTGGCTAGAGCGTCGGCCTGTGAACTGGAGAGTCCCAGGTTCGATTCCGGTCAAGGGCATGTACCTTGGTTGCTGGCACATCCCCAGTAGGGGGTGTGCAGGAGGCAGCTGATGGATGTTTCTCTCTCATGGATGTTTTTACCTCTCTATCCCTCTCCCTTCCTCTCAGTAAAAAAGCAATAAAATATATTTTAAAAAAATAAAAATAAAAATCAAAGGAAAGATATCCTCAGGTGAGAATTAAAAATAAAAAAGATATGAGGATTTAGCTAGGTTTAGATCTTTTATAATCATAATGAGGTATCAATAGCAAGCTGACACAAAGTGAGTGCTTAAACTTGGATATACAATGATCCCACTCGCCCATTTTGCCTTGCAACAGTTCAGGGTGATGCCTATTGTCTCCATTTAATCATTAGTTTCCTCTTTCATTTTCATATCCTAGTTTGGACAGTAAAAAAGTGGCTTGTCAATATCTGATGCTAAGTAACCTGAACTTGATCAAAGGAAAACTACAACCCTTTCTTCAGCTATAAGAAGATATTAATTCTACCTACCTCACTGAGTAGTCAGGAGAATCTAATAAATTTAATATGTGAAAAGGGATTGAAAAGATACATGCCACACTATTAAAAGGGATTGTTACCTTAAAAGATCCAGTTTTCTGGAAGAGTTCACATTTGAAGTAAAGATTGCGCCCTGTTACTTGATTCAAAATGGAGCTTGTTAGCACTGGTGTGAGGTGGATAAAATCTCGAATGTTGATATGAGCTTTTTCAACATCAGCAAAGGAGATGCAGTACTGAGCACACATTGTTCTGAAATCCAGGAATAAAAAAGGGGTAAAAGCAAAAGTCAACATGTTCAATGAAAAGATTTTGAAAATGCAAAATACAGACCTATTGAATATACAAGAGTGAACTACAATGTAAACTATGGACTTTGGGGGGTAAAGAGTTAATGTAGATTCAATTGTAACCAATAAACCTTTCTTATGAGCGATGTTGATAATGGGGGAGGCTATGCATATGGGTGGGGGTGGGCAGGGGTTTTATGGAAAACTGCCTTTGGATCAATTTTGCTATGAACCTTAAGCTGCTCTAAAATATATATATTTAAAAAATAAAAAGAGCCCATCTGGTGTGGCTAGGTTGGAATGTTACACACACACACACTCACACACACACAAAGGATGCAGTTTAATTCCCTGTTGGCACATACCTACATTATGGGTTCAAATCCCTGACCAGGAAAGGCAACATTACATTGATGTTTCTCTCTCATTCCCTGCCTTTCTCTCGAAAATCAATAAAAAACATATCCTTGGGTGAGGATTAAAAATAAAAAGCCCTGGCTGGTGTTGCTAAGTTTTTAGAGAGCCGGCCTACACACTGAAGGGTTGGGGGTTGGATTCCAGGTCAAGGGTACAGACCTGGGTGGCAGGTTCATTCCTGTACCTGCTTGGGGGCTTGTGCACGGAAGGCAACCAATCGATGTGTCTCTCTCACACTGATGTTTCTCTCTCTCTCTCTTTCTCTATCCCTCCCTCCCTTTCTCCCTCCTCCTTCCTTCCAACTCTCTCTGTAAAGGCAATGGAAGAAATATCCTCAGGTGAGGATTAACCAAAAAAATAAAAAGAAAATGCTTTATAGTAAAATAGGCTTGGGCCTGTGGTGCTAATGGGGGAACTGTCTCCATTACCAGGGCTCCAGAATCTTTGTATAGAAGGGAACTTATCTCAAAGAAAGTTACATTTGCACTTTCTTAGTAAGTATAAGTGTGTTTTTTTCTGATGAAGCTTTATAGGAAGTAACTGATGATGATTATGGAAGGTTTAAAGTTCACCTCTTACCCATACCATCCATCTCTTGACTGGGCTCTACATTTTCTTTTTTTTAAAAATATATTTTATTGATTTTTTACAGAGAGGAAGAGAGAGAGATAGAGTTAGAAACATCGATGAGAGAGAAACATCGACCAGCTGCCTCCTGCACATCTCCCACTGGGGATGTGCCTGCAACCCACGCACATGCCCTCAACCAGAATCGAACCCGGGACCCTTCAGTCCGCAGGCCGACACTCTATCCACTGAGCCAAACCGGTTTTGGCTGGGCTCTACATTTTCATCATTGTAATGAGCTACATTCAAATTCTGCTATAAATTTTTATTTTTAAAAATTATTTAACAATGAAAAAAATTGCCTACAATCCTACTATCTTAAATTATGCTCATTTTTTATGTTTCCTTTTCTTCAATATACATACATTATATGACAGTTAAAATCAGGACAAAGATAACATTTTGTTTACTCCTCCATTTGGCTCAGTTTCTTCAAAGTTTTCATAATTATAATTTTCAATGCTGCATTATGCTTCAATTTTTCACTACTTTTATAGCATTTAAAAAAGTTTTCTTTATTTTTTCTTATTAACAAACAAAAGCAATGCATGTTCAATAAAAAAAAAACAGATTTAATCTGCTTCCTCCCCAAAGACAAATGCTAGCTAAGGCCTGGTGCTATCTCTCTAGGCTCACATATATATACAGACAAAACTTTAACAGGTTTGGTAACTTGCTTTTTTTCAAACAATATTATGAATAATCTATGAATCTTTGTTTATCAATACGTCTATTTATGCAACTTTTAAAATGGCTTAATAGTATTTCTTTTTACAAAAATACCAGAGTTTTACATAACTCTATTGTTGAACATTTAGATTGGGGGAGGGGGACTATCCTATATAATAAAGGGCTAATATGCAAATGGTCATCATGCCCTCATGCTGTCATGCCATAACGGCTCAGACACTCAACACTAGGGAGAGAGGATGGGGACCAGCCAGGCACAAATGAGCTCACAAAAGAGGAATGGGGACCAGCAGGCACAAATGAACTCGCGAGAGAGGAATGGGGATCAGCTAGGCTGTGGCCCGGGAGAGGGACAAGCCACATGCTCTGCAGTCCTGGGCACCTGTGGCTGCAGCCCGGGTGAAGCCACCTGCCCACGGTCCCCTGCAGCTGTGGCCAACCCGAGTGAAGCTGGCCTGGGGCCTGGGTGCCTGCAGTCAGCCAAAGGGAGGGAAACTCGGGTCCCAGGTGCCTGTGACTAGCCGGAGGAGGGAATCCTGGGTCCCGGGTGCAGAGCAAGATAGAGGCAGTTAGGGGCGATAAGGCCAGCAGTGGAGCAGTTGGGGCAATCAGACAGGCAGGCAGAGGTGGTTAGGGGTGATCAAGCAGGCAGGCAGGCAAGTGGTTAGGAGCCAGCGGTCCCAGATTGCAAGAGGAGGTCGGACATCCCCCAAGGGGTCCTAATTGGAAAGGGTGCAGGCCAGGCTCAGGGACTCCCTCCCCTCGCCCCTGTGCACAATTTTCGTGCACCGGGCCTTTAGTCCTATATAATAAAAGCCTAATATGCAAACTGTCCCCTTGACCAGGAGTTTGACCGCTTGCTATGACATGTGCTGACCACCAGGGGGTGGTGCGGAACATGGTGGGCGTCGGTGACGTGGCACTGGAAGCAGGCAGCAGGCAGCAGGCAGCAGTGGAGGTGCTGCAGATCCTGATGGGCCCTGATGAGAGTGGGACTGTGGTGGGATGGTGGAGGTGACCAGGCGACGTCAGGCCAAGGAGAGGACAAGCAGGGCCCAATCTACCCCGCTGATTGTCCTGCAGACAGAGACCAGCAGCTGTGGCAGGGAGTGGGGCCACCGCCTGGCTCCCAGGTGCTGAGGGCGGGGGACTGATATGTGGAACTGGGGGTGGGTGGCAGCGACCAATCTCCCGTGGTGCCCCGGTGGGAGGGTGGGGGCTGCAACCTCTCACCAGCTACCTGGGGACAGAGGTGCAGTGAGAATGCAGGGTGTCTGCCGAGCTCGCTCTCACTCCCCCAGCTACCCTTCCCCAGGATGCCAGTGCTAGCGCCAGGGAAGCCCCCACACTCACGTGCTAGGCACCCCAAGGAGCACACCCTGCACCTGCATGGCCTCTTCTTCCAGGTGAGCTGAGCGGCAGCCCTGGGACCACAGGGGCTGGTCAGGCTTGTGGGTTCGTGCAGGAGCCAGTCTGCGAGGCAAGCTGGGAGAGAGCATGCTGCCCGCCCGGCTTCCATGCAGCACCACTGGGTGGCCCAGAGGCCCACGCTGTGCCCTGGCCTGCAGTGTCTGGCCATGCTCACTGCATCTCCACATGGGGACTCAGGTGCTGGGACTCAGGCGGAGGGGGGTGTGCAGGGGCCAAGGAGCCCAGGTGCTGCCCAGGGCTCAGAGGTCAGCTGGGACCTGCCCTTCCACGCCAGACGCTCACGCTTTGATTGCTGGCCAGGCCCAGGGACTGCACCTGTGCACGCATTTTGTGCATCAGGCCTCTAGTAATGAATAATGATGTAATGAATAATAGCCTTGTTACAAGATCTTTGTGTATCTCCATACATGCTTTGAGTAGATTCCAGCAACTGGTATTTGCATCAAAAGGCATGTACACTTCTAAGACATTTTATACCCCTTGCCAAATTCATCTCCAAAAGGGTTGTAGATAATACCATTTTATACTCTCACAGCAGTTTCTAAGGAATGTCCATTTTTCTTCACCTTTGATATATCATTTTATCTGTTCATTTAATGAAATATCTAGTAGTTTGAGTTTACTTTTTTTAAACAGTGATTGAACACTTTTTCTGTATACTTATTGGCCACTTATTCTTTCATGAGTCTTTAACACACCAATTTACTGGCTGAATCATCTTTTTCTTCTGAAATGTTATGTTTATCAAAATTAAATTTCTATTAGTGCTTAGGGCTTTTCTGGACTTCATATTTTGTGCCATTTATGAGACTGTCAATTCATTTTCCAGTTGTTCATTGTATTATGTTCTTCCCTGATTACTCTAAAATTTATTAGCTTTTCTCACAAATAATTCTTTCAAAGAGACTTTAGAAATCCTTTATCAAGGTTGTCAGAAATACCACACTGTAAAATGAACAATGAATTGGGGGTGTATGACATTTAAGAATAAAGTCTTCCTATCCATAAACATCTGTGTCTTTCAATTTAGTAAAGTGTTTTCGTTTTAGGTTTCTCAGTAAAGTTTTTATAGTTTATTTGTGTCCTCCAATACAGATATGATTAAATTTATGTCTAAGTACATTTTTTGAGATAAGGTATTTCCTTAGATTTTTAAATTACTTACTGATAATGTATATGAAAATGTAATAGAACACTTTACTAGAGTATCTTTTTAAAAATATATATTTTTATTTTATTGATTTCAGAGAGGGAGAGGGAGAGAGATAGAAACATCAACATTGAGAGAGAATCACTGATTGGCTGCCTCCTGCATGCCCTATAACTGAGGATCAAGCCCGCAACCAGGGCATGTGCCCCTGACCAGAATCAAAGCCGGGATCCTCCAGTCCACAGGCTGGCGCTCTATCCACTGACCCAAACTAGTTAGGACTAGACTAGAATATCTTGTTAGAGCTAATAGTTTTCTAGTTCATTCTCCAAATAATCACGCTATCTGCAAATAAAGATAATTTGTCTTTACCTTATAAATACCCCTATGGTAACTTTCTCAGTGACTTCATAATTATTCTTTTAATGTAGATTTTCCAACTCCTCCTGAATTTATTCCAGTAATGTATTATTTGCAAAATCATACAAAATTAGTATTTAGTTGTACATATTAATATATCTAGGTATTCTTCATATCTGTGGTATTCATTCATTTATTCATTCAGTTATGAAATAGTGAGCACCTTCTATGTGTCAGATACTGTTTGGTCTGGAGATGTGTTAGAAAAGTAGACTTGTCTCTGCTCTCATAAAACTTACAATCTCGTGGAGAAATGCACAATAAGCAATCCCAAAATAGATATTTATTTACAAATAGTAATAGGTGATATTTAGGGAAGTGTATTATGATAGGATTCTATAATGTTAGGCCTTATTTATATCAGGTAAGGTTCTCTATGGAGAAGTGAAATTTTAAGGTGACCCGTAAGATGAATGGGCAGGGTAGGGAAAAAGTGTTTCAAGTAGAGGGAATAACATGTGTGAAGACTTTAAGGAGGGATGGAGGTTGGCATATTCTAGGAACTAAAAGGAGGCCAATGTATGTGAAAATAGTGATCAAAGAGTAGTGTAAGAGATGAGAGTGAAGTTGGCAGGGTCTCATTAGGGACCATGATTCATGGATATGTTACTCAAGAGCAATAGAATGCCATTGGAAAATTTTGAACAGATAAGTGACATGCTAGAATTCATCCGGGATGAAAATCACTACATTATGGTGAATGAAAAAAAGAGAAAAGAGTAGAATCAGGGGATTCAGTTAAATGGTATTAGAGTTTTCCACATGAAAGACAACAGGGACTTGGATGGTGAAAGTGGAGGCAGAAAAAAATAATCACATTTTGGAAAAACAAACCTGATTAAAAAAAATGGGTGAAGGATTTGAGCAGAGATGTTTCCAAAGAAGATATACAAATGGACTTGTAACAAGCATATGAAAAGATGCTCAACATTACTAATTATTAGGGAAATGCAAATCAAACAAGGAGACACCATCTTACATATATTAGAATGACTATTATTATTTTTTTAATATATTTTTTATTTATTTCAGAGAGAAAGGGAGAAGGAAAGAGAGATAGAAACATCAATGATGAGAGAGAACCATTGGGCTGCCTCCTGCACACCCTCTACTGGGGATCCAGCTGAAACCTGGGCATGTGCCCTTGACAGGAATTGAACCCAGGACCCATCAGTCCGCAGGCCGACGCTCTATCCAGAGCCAAACCAGCTAGGGCTAGAATGACTATTATTAAACACACACACATAACAAGTGTTGGTAGGGATGTGGAGAAACTGGAGCTCTTGTGCACTGTTGGTGGAAATGTAAACTGGTGCAGCTACTATGGAAAACAGCATGGTAGTATGTCAAAAAATTAAACATAGAATCACTATTCATATTATAATATGAATATATCTTGGGGATATTATGCTAAGTGAAATAAGCCAGACAAAAAGACAAATACTAATAAATACACTTATGTGAGGTACCTAGAGCAGATAAATTCATAGGAAGTACAATGGTGGTTGCTGGAGGCTGCGGGAAAGGGAAGGGAAGCTGTTTAATGAGTATAGTTTCAATTTTGCAAGATGAAAATTATTCTGGAGATTGGTTGTACAACACTGTGAATGTACTTACCACTACTAGACTGTATATTTAAAATCGCTATGATGATATAGTTTATGTTATATGTATTTTACCACAATTAAAAAACCAGAAAAACAGTTACATTTTGAAGATTATAATTAGTTAGTTATAAATAGGCTGCAAGTAATAGAACCGCAATTTGAACTGGACACAAGATGGAGGTGATGAGATTTACTGGCTCATGGAATCGAAGAAAGAGTTAAAATATGGGACAGGCAGGGATATGGACCTTTAGGAACAATTAAAACCAGGGATTTGAGATTTTCTAGGACTCTCTGTTTCTCACCTCTGCTGCTTTCTGCATGTTAGCTTCATTCTTTTTTGTCGCAGACCAGTTCCACATGGCAGGACGCGTGGCTGCCGACAGCTCCTGTGTTTTACATTTTATGGCTTCCACACTGGAGAGGAATTTTCTTTCTCAGTTTCAGTTAAAAAAAATTCTGGGTAAGGACTCTGATTGGCCCATCTTGGCCCAGGACCAGTGGCCAAGGGTGTGAGGGCATTTAAGACAATATTATGCATCAGAAGTATTCACAGAAACATGAAAAAGAAACAATGATTTCTATAACATGATGTCAATTATGTACATTTAAAACATATACATACATAAGACACTATATATTATTAAAAGACATAGATATATCCAAGGACATATTTCAAACATATTAGAGCGATGACCTAAGTGAGGAGGGTAGGAACATGAGTAGTAATTGGAATGGGGAAAAGATAAGAAAGGCCTTGATGGTAATGTGAACCAAATAGTATGATTGCCTTAAATTTCTGTACCTGTGGGAAAAACAGGAGCAAATGAAGGGAGAAGAAAAAAAGGAAAGAAACAAAAGGACAAAGAGAAAATACTTTTGAGAGTGAGGGAGTTTTCAAGAGAAAAGGGGAGAATGTTGAGGTGGTGAATTCCATAGATGTCCACTACAGAGATAGAAGAGACATATCCTGATATTGGTTTGAATGTGGGGAATGAGGGAGACAAGGATAACTCCAGGGGTTTGACTTAGATGGTGGTATAATTTATTAAGATATAAGACTGACGAAGGAACAAGTATTTTAGAGAAAATCAGTGATTTGATGAGCTAAGTTTGAATTACTCATGAGACTTCCAAAAGGATGTTCTTTAGGTTTCTTATTTTTTCTTCCAGAAATATGTCTATTTTAATGTCTAATTTATTTCTAAAGAATGAGACCTTCAATTTTTTTTATCAAGTACTGTTCTTTTTCCCTTATTAATTTCTGATTTTATCTTTATTCTCCTATTTTCCTTTTAATTTCTATTCTTTAAAAATTAATAATAAAAGCACAGGTTACAAATTTCCCTGAGTATTGCTTTAATAATATACCATAGGTTTTGGGTGCAACATTTTCATTAACTTTTTTCTTTTTCATTGAATTTACTGGGGTGACACTTGTTAACAAAATTATACAGGTTTCAGGTGCACAATTCTACAGCACATCATCTGTACACGGTAGTATATGTTTACCACCCCAAGTCAAGTGCCTGTCCATTACCATTTATTGCCCCTATACCTTTCTCCACCTACAGAAACCTTAATTTTTAAAGAATCCATGATATTAGTTTTATTTTTTTGACCCGAGTTATTCAAAATTGGTGTTTAAAAAATTCCAAGTGATTAGAATTTTTAAGTTTGTGATTATTCATTACTCATTTTAATACTTTGCGCTCAGCAATGATGACCTGTGTAATATTTGTTTTTAGAAACTGAATTTCTCTCTCCCCCACTATCCAAATTTGCTTTGTTGTTTTATTACTCACATTAGAGGCCCAGTGCATGAAATTTGATATAGGTCTAAATACAGTTGTCTTTTCACTTATTTTTACCTGGTACTTCATGAGCCCTTTAAATCTGAAGGTTAAATTTAAATCTTAAATTCAAATTTTTCCATCAACTTAGTAAATTTTCTTGTATTATTGTTTCTCCTCAGTTCTGTTATCACCTTCTGGAGCTCATATTTGATTATTAGTTTTATGGATCTATTCTCTATATCTTCTGTCCTTACCTCTAATAGTTTTTATCTATTATATTTCCCTCTGAGTTCTGATAAATTTTCTCAAGCTGGTTTAACTTTTGGCATATTTTACCTGTAGTTTACTGAAACTGTTGCATTGGTAACAGTGTTTTTCTTGGTTAAGCAGGTTTTCTTCAGATTATTTTTCCATCTTAAAAACAACCCTGATGCAGCCTGGCTGGTGTGCTCAGTGGTCAGAGAGAAGGCCTGTGCACCGAAGCCAAAGGGTCATGGGTTCGATTCCCAGTCTAGGGCATGTACCTGGGTTGCAGGTTTGATCCCCATGTGTGGGAGGCAACCACTTGATGTGAGTCATATGGATGTTTCTCTCTTTCATCCTTCCTCCCTTCCATTGTCTCTAAAAACCAATGGAAAAAATATCCTCGGGTGAGAATTAAGAAACAAACAAAAAACACACCCGAAATCTTACTTACAAAAAGTGTCAGTCATGGAAGACTGAAAAACAAACAAACCTGATGCAATGTTCTCTACAATTTCAATGTGAAAATGAATTCGTTTATTTCTTCCTATTTCATGTTTTATTTTTATTTTATTTATTTATTCATTTATTTATTTTTCTATACTGTACAGCCCCCTTCAGTGCTCACAGCCCAAGGGTAAGGAGGCTGGGCAATGGTTTGAGGCTGCAACTTCCTCTGGCATGGGTCCACTATGTGCCTATTTCATGTTTTAAAGATTGTCACTTGCTCTGACCACTCAAATCACCCCCCTACTTTATTTACTTATTTTAGTGAATTTATTGGGTGATATTTGTTAATAAAATTATATAGGTTTCAGGTGTACAATTCTATAATACATCATCTATAGATTGTATTGTGTTCACTACCCCAAGTCAGGTCTCTTCCCCTCACCATTTATCCCCCCTTTACTCTCTTCTACCCGCACCCTCCACCCCCTTTTCCCTTTGGTAATCACCATGCTGTTGTGTCTATGAGTTTTTTTGTGTTTGTGGGTGGGTTTTTTTTCTTAATTCTTTCACTATTTTCATGCAGCCCCCCATGACTCCCTCCCCCCTGACAGCTGTTAGTCTGTTCTCTATATCTGCGTCTGTTTCTATTGTGTTTGTTAGTTTATTGTGTTCATTAGATTCTACATACAAGTGAAATCACATGGTACTTATCTTTCTCTGACTGACTTATTTCACTTAGCATAATGGTCTCCAGGTCCATCCATGCTGTTGCAAAAGATAAGATTTCCTTCTTTTTTAGGCCCAAGTTGTATTCCACACCCCTACTTTTGGACCTTTAAATCTCCCTCTGTAACTTACTTTCTACTTCTGCTTAACCTTCTGGTGGCAAGTGTCTGTCCCATAATAGGAACTGAGTTCTGTCAGAGATGGTTCAAATATTTTAGGCTCAGTCTAAGGCAGTGGTTCTCAAACTTGGCTGCACATTAGAATCACCTGGGAATCTTTTTAAAATCCTGATTTCTGGGCCTCATCCTCTGGAAATTCTGTTTCTTTGTTATGGGGTGGTAACAAAGAAACAGAATTTCCGGAGGATGGGGCCCAGAAATCAGGATTATAAAAAGATTCCTAGCTGATTCTACTGTGCAGCCAAGGTTGAGAACCACTGGTCTAAGGAATAATTCCTAACTATTCTTTGTGGGTTTGGGATTGGGAAGGAGCAACAGGTGGAGGAAAGCGGCCTTGGGGGAGGGAGTTTCACCACAGTTCTGAATAGGTGCTACTGAACAAGAAGTTAAAGTACCAGTTTTCTGATCTAGTTACATTAAAAAACATTTTTAAATCCTCACCTGAGGGTATATTTTTATTGACTTTATTTTCTAAATGTTTATTATTATTATTATTGATTTTGGAGCGAGAGGAAGGGACAGGGAGAGAAGCATGGATGTGAGAAACATCCATATGCCCCCAGACCGGGAATCGAACCCTCATCCCGAGTGTGTGCCCTGACTGGCAATCACACCCACGACCCTCTGTACACCAGAGGCCGCTCCGGCGGGGCTGATCCGGTTAAATTTAAAGACGGAACACAATCAATCAACCTGAGATCCAGGGACGTTAAGTCATTTTCCCAAGAATCCACAATGATGCGGAAATTCCCAAACCGACGAATAGAATCCCTCCTGATTTACTGCCACCCAACCCCTTCCCCAACGAGAGCCAACTACAATGTATTTTTAAAATAAGTAGTCAGGAGGCTGGCTCGGGGGAAGCACTTTGCCGTAAAGGAGAAGACTTTGATAGTCTGGTACTTATCGACTGAGTCACCCCGGGAACTACGGTTCTCTGGGACTCCGTTTCTTCATCTCTGGGGAGTGGAGGAGAAAGCGGGGAACATAATAATGACTCTTACAAGATTTTCAAGGTTCCCAAATCGAGGCCTGGAGCACTAGTCCGGGCCTGTGGGGGGAGACCCTGGCCTGCGAGGAGGGGAGGAGGCTGGATCCTGCGTTGTCTCTCGTCAGTCCCAGCCCCAACCCAGTCCCAGGGTCCTCGTGTTTTTTGCTTCCTCGCATTTCAAATCATTGACTTGATTCTTGCGCTCCTCTGGTCTGCTCTCGGGAGTCTGTATCATATTCGTTATTTCAGTCCGTGTATGCTTAATTTCTAGTTGGTTCCCCATCATAGCATGAGGGTCTCAATTAGATTTCTCGAAGATCTCAATAGCTTTATCGGTGGCTTCTAGACAATTCTTAAGAGAAATTAATAGTGTGGTTCTGAACTCTATATCTTCCATTGACAATTTTGTCCTGTTTCTTTGTCTCCGCATTTTGTTATGCTTTCTTGGTGCACCCCCTAGTGGTCTTTGTGCGCAGTCT